CACATCGGGTGCAGCGCGTGCCTCCTCGGCAGTCAACTGAAATGCCCGACTCCTCACCACTGGAGCCTCTGCCTTGCCCTTCCGGCCATCTGTAATCCGCAGGGTCGCTGGAGCTGGCGCCTTCACTGGCGCTGCTGCTGCTGTCAACTGGGGGCAATTGGCCTTCTTGTGGCCCCTCTGGTTGCAGTGGAAACACAACAACTCTGATGTCTGAAAAGTGGGTGCAGGGGCGGTACAATCCCTGCTGAAATGCCCCGTCTTGCCGTATTGGTAGCAGCCCGACGATCCCATCCTACATGCTCCCTCGTGCGGCCTGCCGCATTTCCTGCATCGGCCTTGTCCTGACTGGCCTTTCGGCCTACCATCTAATCCCTTGGGCTTCTTCCCCGAAGCCCCAGTCACCTGCCCCTCCTCTACCTTCCTCTTCTGGATGTGCTCCAGATCAATCTCCCTCTCCCTTGCCCTGGCAATCATGGAATCCAGGGTAGGGCAAGCTGAAAAACTAACATACTCCCGAATGTCAGATCACAGCATGTCATGGTAGCGGGTCCTCCTCATGTCCTCATCTCCCGCATATTGGGGCACTAGCAACGCCCTCTCCCGGAACTTGGCGGTGATCTCCGCCACAGTCTCAGTAGTCCGTCTCATATCTACGAACTCCCTCGCCAACTGCTGGAGCTCCACTGCTGGTGCAAACTCCGCTCTGAACCGAGTCACAAAGTCCGACCATGTCATAGCCTCAACCGCCGAGGCTCCCAGAGAGTCACCAACCGACTCCCACCAATCCCTGGCCCGGTCCCTCATACATCCTGCTGCAAATCGTACCTTCGACCCCTCAGGGCAGAAGCTAGTCAACTGTGCAGACTCAATGTCTGCAATCCATCGTCTGGCAGCAATGGGGTCCTTCGCCCCATGGAAATCTGGTGCACCACTGCCCCTGAAGTCCTTAAAGGACAGCGTGCGAGATCCTGACTGGTCAGATGCCATGTCACTCCTGAACGCCCTGAGGCGGTCCTCCATCAGCTCAACTATCCCTTCCTTGATCGACCCGAAAATGATGGGGGTCGACTCAAGGATGCCTCTGGTGATCTCTGACGCGATGAACTCGCGTAGCCTCTCATCTACTGGCTCGGAACCTGATCCCGAACCCGATCCCTCTCCTGAACTGCCAACTGCTGGCCTCGGACGTAGTACCACCATTCTGTAATACATACAGGCAACCATTAGTGATACTGATACCTCTAAAGGGATCACATCTACTACAAGTTCCGTGGTCTTGCCTTAGCCTTCCTCGATTCAAGTACGGATCCTCTGCTTTCAGTAGTACGGGCCCATACTACCTTCCACATCTATCCGTACTTTCCTCAAGAATCGCCTCGACTCCACCAAGTCCCTTCTACTACTACTGCTGATCTTATGCTAATCTCATCCTAGGCTTGCCCTAGGTAATCACCAACCCACTCTCCGCCATCAGCTGCATAAGAAGTCCCTGCTTTCTTCCCCTAACTAGCTCGCGAATACTATTACATATTACTCAGACTAGATAATTCTTCGAATGAGAGGTCCTACCCTACAACGGTTGGACTCAAACAAGAGCTGCGAAATAGAGCTAGACCCAACCTTCTGAAATTATTTAGTCCTTGCAATATGTAACTTAACATATTCGTTTACTAGTTAGTGAAAGACAACTAGAACTTCTAAAAGCACAAAGCAAGCAGCATTCGGGCATTGAGTACACATAATCAAGTATATACTACTCTGGCTATCATACCGACTAATCTGTAATAGCATGCAGTTCTCAATAAGCTGGTACACATATAGCAGGCACATAAGGCATCCTTCCTAGATCCTTAGCCCTAAGCTAGCATGCAGTTCTACTGAAACTGAGACTGGTAATCATATCATAAACTTGTATGGGTACTTTGGGGAATACTTACTTGATCTCGGCCGGTCGCGCACATCACACACTTCGCTCTTTTCCAAACTCTTTATCTTAACTTTTAGAAAATCATTTTCTTTTGTAAAAATCCTTTTAGTCCCTCGATTTGAGTCCAGACACTCCCGAAGGTGCGTCCGAATCCCTCAAACCAGGGCTCTGATACCAACTTGTAACATCCCAAATTTCACGTCCAAAAATTTCATTTTTAAAACAATACTTTGGAAAACATTTGTGAATAAACATCATTTGATCATATCATTTCATAAACATATTTCGTGTCTGAAAACCAAATCATAAAAACAACCATAATGTCAAAGTACAAAATCCCAGAATAACTCATGGTGCGGAAAACATTGTGCGTGTATGATATGCCGCTACCGCGCCAGCTCCTTCCCCTTCGATGAAGAGGTACCTGAAAACAAAACTGTAACTGTAAGCACGAAGCTTAGTGAGTTCCCCCATTGTACCACATACCATACAAACACATAGCATACATACTGCCGGGCAATTCTGGGGTGCCCGACCTACCCGATACGGCCATTCTGGGGTGCCGAACTACCCGTGTCAAGCCATTATGGGGTGCTGACCTACCCATATCAAGCCATTCTGGGGTGCTGACCTACCCATGTCAAGCCATTCTGGGGTGCTGACCTACCCGTTGGTCCTAACAACCGAACTTGGGGCTATTCCCTTCCTACTACCACTATCACATATAACATAGCATGCCAGCATATAAACATATCATCACATGCTGTCAGACATATCTGGGGTGTCTGACCTACCCTTCGGTCCTTACAACCGAACTCTACTACTATCACTTATAACATATCATGCCAGCATATAACATATCAGGTAGTAGCAAAACTAGATGATATCACAAAGACAATCACCTAACATACAACTCCTACTGGTGGGCCGACATTGTGGCCGTAGACCCACCGCTACTGGAAGGTAACTAACCTCGTAGTAGCTGCTGATCTGTACGGGAAAATCCTCTGACTGCTACTGCTGCTGCTCCGGAAATCCTCCGACTATAATTCCCACAAAACACTTAGTCATACACTGCCAACTGCTTTTAGGGTAAAATGACCATTTTACCCCTGACCAAGTCAAAGTCAAAGTCAAAGTCAACTTCCAGTTGACCTGACTCGCTGAGTTGGTTCGCCAACTCGCCGAGTCCCTATCCTTCTATTTGACCTTATACTCGTCTCTACTCGTCGAGTTAGGCGATGACTCGACGAGTTTTCCTTCTAATTGAACTTCTACTGAATCTTCATCCGACTCGCCGAGTTGTATGAACAACTCGTCGAGTTCATCTTCAACTGATGAATAGGTCCTGTCCTTGACTCGCCGAGTTGTATGAACAACTCGTCGAGTTCGTCTTCAATCTTAAGAAGATTGCCTTGGACTCACCGAGTCTGTTCATGCACTCGCCGAGTCCCATGAATTCCAGAACCATGGCTTAGTCCAGAACGTTGGGTCACTCCCCGGGACCTCCCTGAAACCTTTCCACACTCAACTGGGTCCTTGACCCAAAACAGAAAAGGGAGTCAAGCCTCAGACTCGCCGAGTCCCAAGAACGACTCGCCGAGTCGAGTATGTCCAAGTCTCATTTTCTCGATTTCTGGTGTACAACACTTGCCCAAAAGGTAGATCTAGGCTCCTAGGACCGTTCTAGCACGTAAAGTTACGAACTTTACGTGCATGCATGGGACTTTTGAGCCTAAAGGCCCTAAAATGGCTCCTACAATGCATGAGGCCTTCCTTGAGTGCCAAAAGCCACTCCTTTCTGCCTTGTAACCCCTCCAAGGACCTAGATCTGAAACTTCAACCCCTAACCATGCTTGCAATCATGGTTGGTGACCAAAATGGCTTAGAAAAGCCCTAAAATTTCACAAAATGGGATCTATCAAATGGAAGAGCAAGGTACAGACTTTTTACCTTCAATGAGCTGAAAATGGTGCACAAACTCGGATCCCTTTAGCCTCCTCTTGTTCCTTCAAGCTTTTCCTTCCCTCCTTGGATCACAAAAGCACCAAAGTCACTCCAAACGCCTTAGATTGCTTCAATAACGGATAAGGTTTGCTATGGGGGTCTTCTGGGAGCAAATGGGACGAAGGAGGCCGAGTTAAAGTGTTTAAATAGGGTGCAAACCCTCGGATTAGGGTTTTTGTCCAGACAGGGTCTACTCGCCGAGTCCGGGACCCGACTCGCCGAGTCCATCACTTAAGTCTCGCGTCCCCTCTCTCTTCTACTCGGCGAGTTGGTCCTTCAACTCGCCGAGTCCAAGGCCAAAAATGCAAAATATTTAAAGAACTACTAAAAAGAATACGTACCAAGAACCAGGTGCTACACATAAAGTTGGCAACTGTATCATCTTACATGTCTTGATGGGACCCTAAAACCCAATTTTGTCCATTAAGACCCATAATAAGGGCTCTAACTCATGCATGGACCAATATGATTCATCAAGATGGCACCTTTTTACACAAGGAACGTCTTAGGGGTTAAGATCTAGCATCCTAGTTCATGAAGTGACTCAAACTCCCAAAGAGAACCCAAAAGACCATAATAAGCTCAAAAACAAGCCCTAATCTCAATCTAACACAAAGAGGTTCCAAGATAAGAACTTTATACCTTCTGGAGCTAGCAAACTTGATGAAGATTCTAGATCTACAACCTCAAGTCCAACCAAAGCTTGGCCACCAAGCACCACCATCTTCAATGCACACAAAACAACACCAAAATTACTTCCAAAGCTCAAGAACACACTATAGGAGGCTAGGGATTCGATCTTAGGGTATAGAGTGATGGAGGCTGATCAATAGAAGATCCATCAGTGTTATAAGTTGCTTAAATAGGGCACAGACCCTAAAAATTAGGGTTTTCCCCTGCTTAGCATACGCCATGCGTACTCCCACGTACACCCAACGTACGTGGGCGAACCCACGTTCCTGAAACTAGCTAGTACGTTAAGCGTTCTTTATGCGTACTATCTAGGGACCAAAAAGATAGATATTTTGCATTAAGGGGGTTAAAAGGGAAACATACCAAATCTCGAATGTTACACCGACGTCTGCTGTGTGCGTCGACGGAGTGGACTGTCGGTAATGGTGGGTGTCGTGACATCGACTTCTGCTGTGTGCGTCCCCGGTGTCTGCTAGACATATCGCCAGAGTATGCTGGGTATCGGCTTCTATTTTTATACGTCGCTGGTGTTCGATGTACGTGTCATCGGTGTATGCTTTGTGCGTCGATGGTAGGCACGCTTCTAGTTTGAGAGAGAAAGTAAAGAAAACGGTAGATGAAATATTGGAATATGACGAGAATTAAGGTTAGATCATTTTTTGGAGTTTTTATTTTATTTTGACCATCTTTGACCATTAACTAATATTTACTTTTGTTGACCGCCAAGACCATCAAGCTCGTCATTGACCGAAATTTACCAATTTCCGCCACACACCCCTAATCCTAGTAGGTTGGAGAACACCAAACGATTAATCCCGATTTTTGCAACCTTGATATATATATATATATATATATATATATATATAGAGAGAGAGAGAGAGAGAGAGGTAGGTTCAAATGTTTCTCACATCTATTGTGTGCTAGAATGCACCAATAAAAATTTAGTAAAAATTATATGTATATTAAATGATATTCATACTTATAATTCATTTTTATGGAAACTAATTAAATTCGTTATTAATGTCGACAATAATATTTTTTTCAGAATGAATTTGTATCTAGAAGAATGAGAATGTATTCTAGCAGAATGAGAGTGTATACACTCTCATTCTTCATATTTTATTCAACTTTATTGTATTTTAAGTGAGTGAGTCCTGAAACAAACAACGAACCCGTACATAAAAACGTAGGTATGAATTCATTCAGAAAGAATGTTATTGTTGATATTAATGACAAATTTAATTAGTTTCCATAAAAAGAGAATTATAATTATGGATATCATTTAATATACATAAGATTATGAAAATCATTTAATATTTATCTCTATTTAATTAAATAATTATTTAATTTTATTAAATTCCTATCGATGCATTCTAACATACAATAAATATAAAAAACACATTAAGCTGGCCTATTATATATATATATATATATATATATATATATATATATATTCACTACTAGGAGACATAGACTCTTCAAAGCTGCAAAGAGAGAAGAATCAAAGGATTGAGCAAGAGAATTAAGAAAAAGAAAAACCCTTTTTGTCTGTCATGGATCTCGTCTAAATTTCAACGTTGAATGTCTGTGTTCTTTTACCAATAGGCATCTCAAGATTCAAAATCCTTCAAGAACCTTCTTCAAGATTTTGCTGTTATTCCACTACTTTGCATTTGTGCGTTTCGCTACTTGAACGTTTCGTTCGTTTCTTCTGATCAAAGTCTGCTCTTGCTTTTTCAGTTACCATTTGGTCAATTAAGGCAAAAGAAATACATAAGTTATACTTGCATAGCTTGTAATTTGGGGGTTTATGGTATCAAAGCTTCTATTCTGTAGGCTGTTTGAGTTATTTTGATTCACATCATGATGAGTTCTTTGTGCAGGATGAAAACTCTGCTAATATGATTTTGCTTGTTATAGTTTTCTGTGTAAATTTCTCGGTTTATCTGGAAATGACTTTCTCCATCTCCGATTGTATGGGGTTTTCCCTGCGTAATCGTTAATTTTTTGGACTATATTAGGAGCTTATGTTTTCGTTGTTGTAGCTACATTATGCTTAGGGTTTATGGATCGAAGTTTGAATTTGATTTCAATGAATCCTACATACAACCCGTTATCAATCTATTCCTTTTGATAACTGAGTTGACCGAATTCAGCACTACATCGTATTAGGATTTAGAGGAATTTCGTTTTTAGAATTGACAATCATGGGCTAGATTACAAATACTTGTATGTGCTTCAGTTCAACCTTTTATTTCAAATTATTTTCAAATGAAGCACAATTTACCTACAGTGGCTTGTTCCTTTGAAAAAGCCAAGATCAAAGTACAATACTTGCAAATAATCATGTTTCTTTTGGGTTTTTTTGCAACTGCAATGATTTTTTTAAAGGTTTATCCAAGAACAACGATTAGAATTGTTTTCCATTCAATTATTTATGTTTCTAGTATGTGAATCCAACTAATGTGTCCATATGATTAATGTCAACTGGTTGACTTCCATAACATTGACTTTGATTGTCTGCAATACAGATTCATTTCTTGAGGCCTCAACGAATGCTACTTTGTTCTGAAAGATATTAAGAGCCCACAAATGCTAAATTAAAGGTTAATGATTCTGGAATAGAAGTCACAATGGCAAGGAAAAATCTGGGTTGTTCATCATCATCATCATTTCTTGTTCTTCTTGCTGTTGGTTCATTCTTTGCTACATATAATTTAATAACATTAGTGGTTCACAATAGAACAGTGAATCATGGAAAATATACTTTTGATCCTCTTGTTGTGATGCCTGATAATATGAAGAAAACCGGGGGTAAAAAGGTCTTATTCCATGTTGCACTCACAGCTACAGATTCTCCTTACAGCAAATGGCAATGCAGGATTATGTATTATTGGTATAAAAAGACAAGAGATATGGAGGGATCAGAGATGGGAAAGTTCACTAGAATCCTGCATTCTGGACAACCGGATAATTTGATGGATGAAATTCCAACTTTTGTGGTTGACCCTCTTCCATCAGGGTTGGATCGAGTAAGTTTCTGATTCTTTTTGACTTAATAGGCTTAATGGTTTAAGCACTTAATGTGCACATCTATACTTGATTGTTTCTTTTTGACTTAATCTGGACATAATGACTCAATGCGTAATGAGTTAAGCCAAAGAATTTGGTTTAATGTATCAAGACACTAACCCTTCACCTACTCCCCTCACATTAAAATTGATGAATATTGTGAAGTTTTTTTAAATGTAAGGGTAAAATGGTCATTTAGTCTCATTCAGATGGTTTATTCAGTCTAGAAAAGAAACATACCTTATGTATACGACACCTTATCATTACCCATTCAGTCACTTTACTCATACAAGACTTAATGGAAAAGAAAAAAGAAACAGAACCTAAGTGACTGAATCTTTTTTTTTTTTTTTTTTTTCATCCAATTATGTAGAATTATGTTTCCTTGATTTTATAAAATGGATTTTATTTGTTACACAGGGATATATAGTTTTAAATAGACCTTGGGCATTTGTGCAATGGCTGGAGAGGGTAACCATTGAAGAAGAGTGAGCATTCTTATGCTGATTGCATGTTCTTTAACATATTAAATTTGAAAAAATAAATAAATTAATGACTGTTTTACCCTTGGCAGATACATATTGATGGCAGAGCCTGACCACGTATTTGTAAATCCACTGCCTAACTTAGCTCGTGGAGAATATCCAGCTGGATTTCCTTTTTTTTACATCAAGCCTGATGAAAATGAAAATATAATTAGAAAATATTATCCTAAGGAGAAAGGACCAGTTACTAACGTTGACCCAATTGGTAATTCTCCTGTTATTATAAGAAAGGTAATACAACTAAAGCAGTTTTCATACCCCATGAATTTTCATCTTTGAAAGATCTTTTTGTAAAAGTGAATATGTAAATGTCATTTATTCAGGATATTCTTGAAAAAATAGCTCCCACATGGATGAATGTTTCTTTAAGAATGAAGGATGATCCTGAGACTGATAAAAAATTTGGATGGGTACTAGAAATGTGAGTCGAAATTTATAAAAAATATGATTGACCTTTTTTCATATTATGTAGTTGGTCAACGATTTTGACTTTTTGGATTTTGAATTTTGTTGCAGGTATGCGTATGCTGTGGCCTCTGCTTTGCATGGTGTTCAACATATTCTTCGGAAAGATTTTATGCTCCAGGTATTTGAATTTACTTTTTGTAATTTGTGTATTAAATATTAATTACAAGTCTGAATTAACAATTATTATAAAATAAATGTGTTCTTAAAACTTATTCCTGGATTCAACGTGTCAGCCCCCATGGGACTTGGAAATAGGCTATAGGTTTATCATACATTACACTTATGGATGTGACTACACCATGAAGGTAAATTTGCTTTTTCTTGTTCATTTGCTTGGACCCACACTACACTGTGTTTGACATGCATTGGACTGACGAAGTATTGATTTTTGAAGGGTGAGCTTACATATGGAAAGATTGGAGAATGGCGATTTGACAAGAGATCACATCTGCGGGGCCCACCACCAAGAAATATTTCCATGCCTCCACCTGGGGTTCCTGAAAGTGTGGTAAGTATGTTGCTATTATGGGTAAACGAATATATATAAGTTTGTTACTATTATGAGTAAAAAATAAAGTACATTGTCTATATTGGTATGATGCAGAGGACTCTTGTAAAGATGGTGAATGAAGCTACTGCCAACATTCCGGGATGGGATACAACATAACAGATTGTTGGATAACTGAAGCTTGTTTCGTTTATAGAGGAAAAATACATCGGAGTGATTTAATATTTATACAAAAAAAAACTTGGGATTAAAGTAGTTTGTCTAAATTAAATGAAACGCGTTTTAATACAAGTTATATAAGAACTAACACAAGCTATTGGGATGCGTTATGAATGTAAGTTGATAAAATTTTTGGTTGGTGACTCCATTGTTAAAATTTTAGTATGTTTAATTTTGAAAGGAAACCATATGTTTGGTTTTATGTAATATTTGGAGAAAAATAAGTTTGTTGGGGTTATGTTTGGCGAACTAGCTGAAAAACTAGATGTTAGCTGAAAAGCTAGCTATTAAATAAAAAGCTAGCTGATAAAAAATGGCGATCGGTAAAACTAGCTAAAAGATATAAAATGAAATAAAAGGGCATTTAAAAGAATGTGTTTTTATAATTAACTAGATTATGACCCGCGTTAAACGCGAGGAACATAAATTAAATACATATCACATTAATAGGTGACATTGTCTTAGGTGAAATTTTAATAAAAAATGTTAGTTAGATTCATTTTTTAGAGTTTTGAACCAAATTTGTTAAATAAAGATATTAAATATTTATATTAGAGCAATTTGGTTTTTTAATACAGTAAATTTTAACATAAATGATCCACATGGTCTTTGTTTTATCACGACATGATGTGACTCCTTGATTAAAACATGTTGTGTAGTCGTTTTATGAATTGACTATGTTCGGTGTACCAACCCCCATGGAGGCTCGCATGGCTCTTTTCATAGTGGCCCTGTAAAACCAAAAACAACAATAAGTTGTTATATGTACCAACAACCTTACATTCTGCAAGGAAATTCGATACACATTACAATTAAAGTGCATTGTTATAACCATAAACATCAAATTCAGACATGTAATTTGGTCAATTTCTAAAGTATTTTTTTCCTTATAAGAATTAAAATATTATTTTTCAGGCTACGCCCAATCACATATACATGTCTTTCGCTTAAAGAAATTATTACAAAAAAAACATGTTATGAACAAAAAATAATATTAGTTTCATAATTTGCCAAATGCTAACACTAATAAATTATAATGAACTTTCACAAATCTTCCATTTTGGTCACCACATCCAACTAACAAATGAAATTCAGTTTAGTGGATTGATTCAAGAAGTGCATCCATGACTTCTTGTAGCTGAATTTGGGAAAATGCTAAGACCTACTGAGATATGAGGGAGTGGTCTGTGAGGCTGCAGTTGGTTTCTGGAGGGCATTATAAATTCAAAATCGTTAGCACATATCTTTCATACATGCTTCAATTATCAAATTTAGATCAAATTTGTCAAAATCAAATTACAAAAAAAAAAACTCAGATATGTAACCTAGCAATTAAACAACAGATTGTTCATGGAAATAAATATCACAAATCTACAATTTACACTTTATATAATATTCTTAAATTATATTTTACACTTTCATCTTTAATGGTCACTAACACCTCTTTTTGCCCTATTGTTGTGACATGAAAGAACTATAGAGTACACACATGCTTAATCGTACCAACAACAATCAATATTTTTTTTATGATAAATATTGATATAAGTTTAAATTATATAATAAAAAAAGTAAAATGAAATATGAGGGTAAAAATAATCCAAAACCTATTTAACATAATGTATATTTCATAAATGGAAGTTAAGTATATAAACATCATCTACTTGTTGGAGATCAGCAATAACATGAAAATCAAACTTATGAAGGAAATCGTCATTTGCAGAGTAGAGGATGGAGGACAAAGCATTGCTACAATTAGCATATGTGCTTTCTGGACAGGCTTTGGCAATAAATCTTAACAAAAAATAAGATGTTATTTTTGTTGCTTTAAAATAGGATCATTGATAAAGATCCTAGTTGTGGTGAAGCAATTTGTGATGGAGAACCGTTTTGAAACGATGCATAATGAAGTTAGTATAAATGTATATTCATTTATAGTAAAAGGAAGAATAATTTTTTGAAATTTTTTAAGGTGTAAGTTGTGAATCAGAGTAATGAACAAACCTCTATAATAAGATATTTTTTCGTATTGAATAACAACTACCATAGGAGTTCGTTTGTTATTTTCCAAATAGTTAGCAAACTGTTGTGCATACCCATCCCAGAGTGTTACATTTATTTGTTTGCTTCTATAAAAACCAAAAAAATAAATAAATATACAATATAAAATGACATTATAAAGTAAAATTTGACACAAAATTTTGAAAAGTAAAAAAATCATCATCTTCCAAAAAAATTGGGATCCTAAGATATTATTCTGGAGATTTTCGGCTATTCATTTGGAAAAAATTAAGATATCATATATATTGATTCAAAATTTCAAATTAATTGACTTGCTTATTTAATGAGTTTTAAAATTCAAACCAATATCTCAAACTGATTCATTTTATGTGGGATATACTCTGAGATAAATTATGAATAATATTGATTTTAATTTTAACACTCAAATAGTTTGTTGATTTAATGGGATTAGATTAGATTTTATATGTTAATAACCAAATTATTGATATGCTTATTTAATGAGTTTTTTCAAAAAAAAAAAAAAAAAAAAAAAAAAAAAAAAAAAACCTTAACGGATTCGAATTTTGAAGCAAAAAACTATAAATAAGGAAGTTAAATTATGAACAATATTAATTAGAGAAACTGATATCTGATATATAAATAGAATGATGTGCTTAATTAATAACACAATTGCTGAATTTAAATATTCTATAATTATTAAAGATTCTATAATTAAATGTAATTGTGTTTGAATTCTATTTGGGGAGGATGATGTCAACAATTTGATCTAAAGGTGAAGAACAAAGGATTGAAATACAGTCAAATGCCCTGATTGCTTTAGTGATGAATTAAGGGTATCTTTTTAATAATATTAGAGATAAAGGGATATATTTGAAAATTTTTAAAAAAGCTTTTAAAAAGCTATTCTAAGTAGCTTTTTAAAAAGTTAGCTTATAAGCTACTTTTTGGCTTGTCAAAACAACTTAAAAAAGCTCAAAATATAAGTTAATTTATCATCTAGCTGTGGGGCGCCAAACATAACCTTAGCGTAAAGTTATATATTTGGCCATTGTAGTGGAAGAATATTTTGCCCAATGTTTTGACTATCGGTATCCTCGTTAAGATAAACAAAATAGTAAATTACAGATATGGTCTTTATGGTTTGCCAAGATTCACACTGTTTATCTAACAAAAGAGTAAATTACACATTTGGTCTTTATGGTTTGTCAAGATTCACACTATTTATCCTATTATTCATTTTGTTACATGGTTGGTCATTATGGTTTAATGGTTTTTGGGATGATAAAACTATCCCTTTAGTTGTTATTTATTATTATTATTTTTTTTAAATATGACCAATTTGCCTTTACCCCACCCCTACCCCCACATGGATCAAAACTGTAACATTTTTTTTAACTTAACAGATTTTTGTATTTGTTTATTATTTTAAAATGTTAACGACGACTAACCCACCCACCACCTACTTACTAGCCCACACCACAATTCCACAACCACCATCAGAATAGACAATGTACTTTCAGGGCCACTTATCTAAGGACGTGTACTTTTTGGGGCAACATTCAAAGACAATATACTTTTAGGAGCAACATCGACAACATGAACCACTTACCACCAATCGCCATCATCAATCACCACCAATCTCTACCAATCACCATCGTAACACCACTCTTGCTACCACCTACTTCTACTACCACCATCACAACCACCACTACAATAATCCTGCCGTCATCTTACTATTGCCACCCCCTCACAACCACCACAACACCACTCCTGCCACCACCCTCACAACCATCACTACCAATTTGAAATCCCTAAACTAAAAAATAATAATTTTTACTTCCATGCAACAACTAATAGACATAATACCAAACCATAATACATCCCTTAACTTGCATCATTCAAACATTCAAACATATTTTTTTTATACAAACATAACCAAGCAAATTTTGGATACAAACATTACCAACAAAATATGGACATAAACATTACCAATCTAACATAACACATTCCAAACTTTACCATTATCAATCTGGATAACATATGTAACACCCGTTTTCCAGATGCAAGTTACTTTCCTCATTGAAATTGATTACGTGCTAATTTGGGGTTCGGAGATTGCATGTCGCAACTTATAAGGAGTCGCGACATGATCTACATATTTAAGTAGCAGTGCGACTTAAGTGAACGTCGCGACGTGAAGCCATCACGGCTCATAACCCTAGGTGTCGGGCCTTGGACCCTATATAATGTCCTTAACTTCTAGCGTTCCCCATAATGGTCAACCTCCATCTCCTGAAACGTCCCATTTCCTAACCATAGCATTCATTGTGAGAGTTTGAGTCTTATTTCCTTTTTTTGTGAACACCAAAGAAGAAGGTGGTCATTAGTGATGCAAGAAGTGTTGCTACATCTTAGATCCAACTTTCTCTTGTGCTTCTGGACTTGGGTAAGTCATAAAGCTCCTTCCTTTATGCTTTTTTGTCTTAGGCCTTGGTAAAAGAATGAGGTTTTGGATGTTATAGGGGTTTGACGAACTCTAGAGCTTTGTTATGAAAATTTTGTGATTTTGGACCTATGAGCGTGGATAAAAAGGACCATGCATGTGTTCTCTTTAGGCCATGTACAAGAATAAGACATTCAGGGAATCTTGTGGACATAGGGTTTGAGATCTTGCATATTTGAGTTATCTAAATGGATAAAGTTGAAAACTTTATCCATTAATTCCCTTGAGAAAATTAGATCTGATAAGATAAGCTTTGATCTGAAGGGATTAAGTACTTAAGAAATGAGTCTGGTCAGCAGAGAATCACGACACGACCTCTTGGATGGTCGCGATGCTCTTATGGAGGAAATTGCGACTATTTTGTCGCATATTGGTAGTGACATGACCAAAAGCTGGGTCACGACGCGTTGACCGTTGATCGTTGACTTTGACTAGTTGTTTGTTGACTTTTTAACCAGTTTAACTTCAGATCAAGATTTATGGGTTTATGATGTCTCTGTTTGTTATCTAGGTGGTTCGGGAGACCGGTTCTTACGAGTTCGTGAATTTAGTTGTGTTTCGCCAGCTTTTAATTCAGTTGAGTTATCTCATTATATTATGTGTTTCATTATATGTCCTTC